TGCAAATGCGAGAATAATATTACTGTAGGTACCTAAAGTTATTACTGATTTATTAGCGATTATCTGAGAATATTCAGTTAAATAGTGTAAAATAGTAGTAATCACATCTATATGTTTAAAAATAGATGAAAAAAATGGCATGTTCTGATATATTGTCTCTGTCAGTATCTGCAATCTGTGCAGAAATGAGAACATTAAATTAACAAAGATGAAAGCAACCTCTATGTCTTTTATTTCCATTTTAAAATTCTATCTTTATTTACCTCTTTACCATATCATCGTTAGATTGAAACCTACACTTTTGTATCATATCAAATATACCATCTAGCTTCTTCAATAGTTCCTAAAAAAATACGCATATAAAACAATATTATATGTTACATACAAAAATTGGAGATTCTTTTGGCAATAATATTAAATCTTATAAATTATCAACAATGTATTATTATACTGCACATATCAATACTCACTTTTTCTTTTTTATCATCATAATTTAGATTAGTATAATATTCATTTAAAATTTTCACTTGTTTCATGAATGTTAATCTAATTCTATAATATTTGGAAGAAAAAAGTAAATTACAATCGCTCCTTTTATGAAACAACACAAATTTATGGGGACGAAAAGATGGGAGGGGAGGAGGGGAGGGAAGTTTGAAATTTCTAGAAAATATTAGATGTACAACTTTGCTTCCGCCGTTTTTTTTTCCAAAATTCGAGGCTTTATTGTAAAAAACTGGTTATACATTTATGATTCAAAGTATTGTCCATCGCTGGCCACTATTTTCTCCCATCTTTCGGGTAGTGTACGAATCCCGCGTCGAAAAAAACTGGTCATCTTTTGAGGCTATCCACGAATCGATCCAATTTTTTACTTCTTCATAAGACCGGAAGTGCTGGTCAGCCAGGCCGTGTGCCATTGATCGAAACAAGTGATAGTCAGAGGGAGCAACGTCTGGAGAATACGGCGGGTGGGGTAGGACTTCCCATTTCAACGTTTCCAAGTAGTGTCTTGACCACTTTCGCAATATGGGGTCGAGCATGCAAAATCACTTTATCGTGTCTCTCGTAGTATTGCGGCCGTTTGTCTTTCAATGCTCGGCTCAAACGCATCAATTGCGTTCGATACCGATCGCCTGTGATTGTTTCAGTCGATTTTACAGTTTATAATACACTACGCCGAGCTGGTCCCACCAAATACAGAGCATGACCTTGGAGCCGTGAATATTCGGTTTAGCCGTGGAAGCTTGGTCGGGAACTCCTCATGATTTTCTGCGCTTGGGATTATCGTAATGAACCCATTTTTCGTCCCCAGTCACAATGCGATGCAGAAATCCCTTCCGTCTTTGCCTTTCAAGCAGCTGTTCACAAGCAAACAAACGCCATTCAACATTTCTCGGCTTCAATTCATATGGCACCCAATTTCCTTGCTTCTGAATCATTCCCATGGCTTTGAGGCGTTTTGAAATGGCTTGTTGAGTCACTCCCAATGATCGTGCCAATTCTTCTTGATTTTGAGTCTTGCTCAAGTAATGCCTCCAATTCTGCATCTTCGAAAACCTTCTCTCTTCCACCGCTATGCCGATCTTCGACGTCAAAATCACCGTTCTTGAAGCGTTGAAATCACTCACGACACGTTCTTTCACTAATAGCGGCCTCACCATAAGTATTCGAGAGCATTCGATGAGCCTCAGCTGCAGATTTCTTCATATTGAAGCAAAAAATTAAAACCTCCCGCAAATGACGAGAATTTGGCGTAAACTGACATTTTCAATCGAGAGTAACTTTATGATGCAGACACAAATCGACTAATGTTTCTATGGGATTATGTTAACAGATGCCCAAGTTTATTGTATGACAATCTATTTATTTCGACCACCGCTAAAGCCACCGTTTCGCTTACCGCTAAAGCCATCTATAGGAAAACGGCGGAAGCAAAGTTGTACACCTAATATAATATTCATATATAGAAGAAGTAGGGAGCAAATCATATATTGTTTATAGTCATATGTGATATTCGCAGCATGAAACATCCATGTTTAAAAGACATCTCTGGAACATTTTTCAGCAATAAATGTTACAACGTTCCTAAAATGTTGCTGAAATATCCCAAAATATTTTTTGGGATATTTCAGCTTATTGGAGAAATTATTTCAATAAAGTTCCTCGAGAAATAATTCACTTGCTCCTTTTGCCATTACGTTTTCTCCCTCAAATTTTTGCCATTCGTAAAATACAATATACAATATTTGTTATCTCATACAATATACAATATTTTTTATTATCTATTGCATTATTTCATATATATTTTTAGAAATTCGTTATATTTTAAATATATTTTTGAAAAAGTATATATTGTTAAATTCTCTAAATTTCATAAGTTTACTTTAAAAATTATAGAACGAAAAATTTCAGAATATTTTACAGTTTACAAATTATGTATAAAATTCTAGAAAAGATAACATGATATAGTTTTTCTCAGTATATATCTTATATTTCGATTAATATAAAAAATTTGAGAAATTTTCTAAGAAGGTATTAAATTATACAGAAATTCTGAAAAATCCTGAAATTAAATAAAAATTCTAAAAAATTATATAATTTTAAAAAATTTCACTAGAGAAAAACTACATGAACATGTTCGAACGTCGCGATTCGAAACACGAAAGTAATTAAAAATCGGGCAATGTGTTATCGGGCCAAGTTAACAGAAAGAACTCGATTGCACATATCATGTTGTTATTAACTTTTCGAAAATAGAGTAGAAATGTTCAGACAGATTGACAAAATATACTTTTTTGATAAGTCTAAAATTGACAATTTATGAAAAAATCGGAGTAATGTGTATGATGCAAGGTATCAGAGAATACAAAAAACAGATGGCTTTTTCAAAATCATCGAAGTTAATAAAGAAAAATTCTTCGAGGAGAAATGATGAGAATTATCCTGGATCTACAATTTTTTAAGGAATGAACGAATCACTCTCCTCGCATTCGATTGTAGTTGGTCAATTTCTTACAGTTTCCCAGCAAACGAGAATGAATTAAAATGGATTGAAATTTTTTTCTATTCGAATGCGTATTTAAATAGCGAATATTTTTTTTGGATTTAATTGGATTCAATTGGATTCAATTAGATTCAGTTGGATGCAATTGAAAAACTGCATTTCCTATTCAAAATTTTGAATTAAACAGTATTCACAATGTGTTGTGTGTGCACAGAAAAAGCTAATATTATTTTCAAATTGAAAGGCATAGAGATGTGCTCCATGCAATTCTTATAAATGAATAAAATGTTCAGGATTGAAAAGCATTCATTTTAATAGTTGTGAATCAATATTTCTGAAAATCTGAATTCATTTCAATTCATTTCAATCCATTCTCGTTTGCTGGATTGAAACTTAAAATATCTATTATAAGTTCGGACTTATGCGTGGTCTACAATGGGCAGTAGCAGTAGTGAAACTAATGGATTAAAAATACTTTTTCATAATAATTCATAATTCGATGTTCACTTTTAGCGTCAAAGCAGATTACGTGATAAAAATCAATATTAAGCGTCAGTTTCAATCAAAAAATTGTGACCTATTTTGATGCTAAAAATAAGCGTATATAGCAATTACACATGAGCCAGTTGCGCACAAGCCAATCACAGTACTAAAAAAAATATAAAAAAATTCCCTAGGCAGAAGTCGCTGTGATTGGCAGTGGGCAATTGAACTACGTGCAAATGAACTGTTCCAAAAATAAGCGTCGAGAGTCAGCATGAAAAGGAGTACCTTTAGGAGTCACTTTTAGGAATAAGCTTAGAAATCGAGCAATCATAGGCTGCGTTTAGCAGAACGTTTATTTTACAACTGTTGGAACTTTTCTTTACGCTGATTGGGTTATATTTTTAGATCAAGAGGAATGGTCCAATCTCTGCAGAGAATCATAAAATGGTTGCAAAACTGTTGTGTTCTGCTAAACGTAATTATAAATTATCTTCCTCACGAATGTGCCGTATGACTATTGAGTGATCTACAATGGCAGTATCAGTAATGGATGAGGCTGTAAAAGTAATGCTGATTTTATAATGAGTCGGTAGTTGGAAGTTCTTAATCGGTGAAGTTGGCTATTGGTCAACTTTATCGGTAAGACTTAGGCCGGGTTCACATTTTGACGGAAAAGTGAAAAACGAAAAAGTGGAAACCAATCGGAACTTACAATCGTAATAGGCGGTACATTTCACTTGTTTGCTTCTATCTTTCCGCAAGTTCTGATTGGCTTCCTCTTTTCCGCTTTCCGTTTTTCCATCAACCCAGCTTTAGGATTATTGATTACTGACCTCATAGAATCAGCATAAAGCGGGGAGCACAGACTCTTGCATAACACATAACGCATAAGAAAATTAAAGTCTTTCGTTTCCTTCCTTTTCATAAAATAAAGAATTCTGATTGGTTGAACTCCTTATGTCTTATGTGTTATGCGTTTTGCAAGAGTCTGTGCTCCCTGCTTTATCCTCGGATTCCTTGTTTTGTTGATAATCTCAAAAATTTTCCCAGGGCCGGCCGTCTTCGATAGACAGGGAGCATAGATGGGGAGCATAAAAAATTTTATATAATAATATATATACTTTAAATAAATCTATTTGTTAAATTTGTTTTTACGTGCTTTCCTCTTATATGATATTCTAAGTACTTCTAGAAATTACACATATATGTTGCTTATTCAGTTTGCAAATAAAGAACCAACGAAAGTTGTTATTTTGTCATATTGTAAGTTTGATGGGACACTTTGATAATGAAAATTTTTTAATGAATGAAAATTAACGAATGGAAACTATTTTAGATTATTTAGATTAAAAAAAGAACGCGTGTATGTCGGCATCGTATTTATTTGTTTTATTCCAAACACATATGTATAATATATATGTAGTATCACACGTGCGATGGAGATGCGAATGTTTTTACACGTTACCTCATAATTGCTAGTCATAAATCTTCTTTGTGAGAATATAGTATGTTGAACGTTACATTTCTAATTCGTGTAATAAAAATACACTTGCACTTACGTACAACATTCAAGAGAAATGATAAATCACGTGAGCTAACCTTTTCGTACTGTGCACATCACATTCGAAAGAGACAGTCGCATTCATCTCCAGCCAGTGGTCCCTGGAATGTATTGTTTTTCGGAACGAGTAATTTTTCTCTGGAAAGTTTACGAAGCTTGTATAATGAATAGTTAGTACCAACTTTACCGATAGTTTATTTTTTTAATTTTATTTAATAGGTAATTAAATATTATAATAGAAGAAATGTGAATACTTATTGTTCTTTTTTTTTAATTTACAGCAGAGCCAAGAAACTCTGTCGATTAGAAGTCGTATCAGTGTGTAAAGAGAAAAAGAATGTTATTGTACAGTATGCAGAGGAGAAGGGAATCGTTGTTAAAGAATGGCCTCTTGAAAACAATCCACAGGATTTTCATATCGGGATAGTTGTCGCCTTTGGCCATCTGATACCATTAAATATTATAAATTCTTTTCCACTGTAAGTCACTTTATTTATTCACATGTATTCAATCTATAAATTGTTATTAATATACCTATTAATATACCTATTTTTTGTCGTAGTGGTATGTTAAATGTTCATAATAGTCTATTGCCACGATGGAGAGGAGCAGCTCCAGACATTTATACCTTAATGAAAGGAGACACACAGACAGGAATTACAATCATGAGGATAGCAGAAAAGTAAAGTCTTTTAAAAATTTGTTTCTTAATATTATTTTTGAAAGATCAGCACATAGTTTGAAACATTTTCTCTTGCTCCTATTTTCTTTTTATTGTTTTCAGTAGGTCTCAGGAGATTTTAGTCATATTTTGTTTAAATTAATATATAGTGAGGTTTTACTTTTCTCCAACACAAAAGATTTTATAGATATTATGTATATATTTCATTATTTTTCTAATTTTTTAGTTGATAAAGAAACATAAAAAGTTATTTGCATTCAAGTTTTATTGGTAGAAGAATGAATATTACAATCTTAATATTATTTCGATTGCACCATTTAAATCAATAGACGGTTCTTTATTACTTCTATGTTACTGCAGGTTTGATACTGGAGACATAGTAACACAGGAAAAGATAGATATTCATGCAGATGAAACTCGACCAGAATTAAATATGAAGTTAGCAAAGCTGGGTGCGAATGTTCTAATTGATGTGATAGGAAAATTGCCACAGGTATTATCTTCCTCGAGGCCTCAGGGAAAATTAGGTGTGACGTATGGTAATTTGTTTTTGCTGCTGTACTAAGCGACAAAATACATTAATATTTAACTACTTAAATTATTTCTTGATGATTACACTTTGTAGCACCTAAAGTTGCATCAAAGACCTCTTTAGTGAAATGGGACGAGATGACGGCGAAGAACGTTTATGATCTGCAGCGTGCTCTTCTAGGATTGTACCCATTAAAAACCAAGTTTGATGGTGTAACTATAAAATTGTTGGATGTCCGGCAGACGTCGAAACCGGAAGATGGAAGAAATGTGGATATACCAGGTAATTAATCATTATTCCTGCATGATTCGCTGTGATACTAAGTAAGTACCAAGGATTGGAAACAGTTTATTCCTAGGAAGAAAATGAATTATCTGAAAATATAATTATTGTATATTTGAAGATGAGATGTGCATGATTAATGTGGTAAGCCTCTTCCAGGTTTCGCAAGATTTGATCGGAAAAGTAATGCGTTAGTTATCACATGTAAAGGATCAAGTTGGATCTCAACAATGAAAGTAATTGTGAAAGGTCATTCAGTTATGAGTGCATTACAGTTTAGAAATGGATTTATACGGGGCAGAAAGAAAGACTGGATATTATTTCAGAGTAATGTTACATAATCTATAGCGCTGCTTCTGACATCAATGCTACTCTTTTGTAAATATATGACAATTTCATTGAGAAACAGATAGTGAATATTAAATTTTTATTTACTACAATAATAAAATTTAATTTAGAATGTACAAAATGTAATATTAACGCAGTGACTATTGTGAGAATAATAAATTATTTATCACATGTCAATGTTTCTTTAAATACTGAATATGATGAATTGCTTTTTGCTCATTTCTGATGATTTTGCATGTAAAATAATATCAAAGTTCTTGTCTCATGCGAAAATATTCTTTTGTATATTCCTTTTATTTCTCTCTTTATAATTTATTTAATATCTAATAATTTATTTAATATCTTTTATCATAGAATTCCTATATAAAACTACAAAGCATTACAAAAAAAATCAGTAAAAGAAACAACGAGAAATAAGTAGCGTGAACTATGCTAAATTTCAAATAAATCAGTTTTAAGTGGAATTGCAGTAAATTTTCGTAGAATTCATTTTTCTTCAAATTACAGCAAAGTTTCTCTCTTCTATGTGTTCTCGTGTCTTACAAACAGGGACTTGGATCGAAATTACATTATGGATTAAAATTTCGGTTGCTTACTTTGGCTGGTAATTATGGTCCGAAAATACTCAACTTTCAGTTTCAATGTCGATTCCAGTTCTTTTGAATTTCCAGTATAACTATGATCGTTATATAATTACCGAAAACAGAAACTGAAAAGGACTGAAATCCAAACAAACTCGGTATGGTAAAAGAAACTAAAAGTTGGATTTAGCCTCGGACTGTTATCTGAATCGAATTTTTCGGTCCGAGTCTCTGCTTACAAAAAAACAGAATAACACTGAATAACTTATTTATATAAACGTAGAATTGGAGCTGCAGATAGAAAATTGTTGATATTAAGTCTCAGTTTCAGAGGCCTGAAATGAAAGAAATATTTTTACTATAAAAGTCTCTTTCTTTTATTGTGTTTAATGTGCCAATGATATATCCACATTGACAATAAGCGGAAGACACAAAATGGAGTTCAGAATGCTTCAAGATATCATTCTATTTTGCTGTACATCACAAAAAAATAAAAATAAATATTATATAATAATTTAATTTACATTGGATAAAAAATTTTTTGTTCCTATTCCCCTGTAATATTAATTTTTTAATTTTCATAAGACGATATATCTATCTTTTCTATTTAATTCACCTCGAGAAACCAGCTCAAATCAATTTATTCATGTAGAGATTAAAGTACTTTATATTTTGTCATAATTTTAGTTTATTGTCTCTATTATCAATGTATATGTCTCTATTGTCAATGTATGTGCAATTCGTTCTCTCTTAATTAAATGTTAAATGGATAGAAAAAGAGAAATTATTATCTATATTATAATTACATTATAAAAAATAGTTTCTTTTACACACATTGTATTGCTATTTAAAAACTTCTATAAATGTATATAGAGACAAAATAGAAAGTACATTAATATTAAAAAATTGGTGTGTCTATGGGCAGTGTAAAAATTTATGAACTTACACTAGGATCGCAGTCGGCACAGTGCCACGAATATCCTCTCCTTTTTGGAGATTTTTTCACAGGAGGATCTAAGCATGTAAAGTGATAGCACTTCTTACATTCGTCACACCTGCAAGAATTAAATACACGACATAAAAAGTTATAATAATATTCAATTTTAGCGTCTATAATTTTAAAATTCTAATTATCACTTAATATAGTACTAACATAACGAGATTTTGATTGGTGCCGGGAGTATCACAGACGTTACATTGTGTCATAAGGTCTGTATCTTTCCCTCTCTTCGTTCCCGTTGACAGTCGACCACTGCTATTCACAGATACATTTACTGGAGGTACATTTGCAGCCGGAGGTGGCACAGGTGGTGGTGGTGGCAATGTAATTTCAGTACTCGAAGTGGCTACAAACATTTGCGGGCTCGATTCCGAGTCTGTGTGACCTTCCGGTCGACGAATTGGTTTTATCTATATTTAATTAATTAATATTATTAATGTTCAAATCAACGTAGTGGTAAAGTGGAAAAATAATAGATACTTTTATTGTAATCCTTCTATGAATCTCTGGTTGGCTTTGAATTTCTGGATTTTCTATATCTAAACTTTTTCTTTTATGCTTTCTTTTTCTCTGTTTGATTCCAGTTATCGGATCTGGAGAATATCTTTTATGCTTCTCCCTAAGAAATATTAAGTATTTATATGTATTATGTATTATGTATATTAAATAATTTAATACTTATTTAAATACGATGAACATATAAATTATTTCTTCCGATCATTTCGCACCTTCTCCTTTTTTTCCCACTTCTTTGAGAAACCACTTCCGTTCCATCCGCTGAAGCTACCATGTATTCTGGTGAACCTTCTCTTATGGCGATATTATTAACAGATTGTTGATTGTATACCGACTCAGATATTTGCGTAGATTCTACGGTTGACGGTTGCGGTCCCACTGGTTTAATAGTTAGCTGTAAAATTTTTTATATCTATATTTTATACCTATACTACCCCAGAGTTAAATCTTAATCTTCATTTATTTATAAAATAAGTATAATATAAACAATAATAGAGTAGTAATACCATATTAAAATCAACCATATCAAAATAAATACCTTTGGTGTTGTATGTGTGTCAGGAGTAGTAATGTTTGTTACATTACTGATAGAATTTTTTGATGTAGTAGGCGTGTTTGACGTCATGGCTGCTTGCACTTCTTGTGGTGGTGTAGGCATCGAATTAGCCTCATCCTTACAATGTCTTAATTTACGTGGTGCCGATGTATCCACACGTTCCACTTCTGATCCCGAGGATTCCTTATCGCATTCGGAACATTGCCTGCAAATTACAACATTAAAAAATGTAATGAAATTGGAATGTCAAACATTTATGTTTTCATACATACCATCCCATTTGTCTCGTTTTCTTAGGCATTCGTGCTAAAGGGGGGCTTAAACAAGATAGATGATAGTGCAAATGGCATGTGTCGCATTTAGCGAGAAGATGTTGATTAGTTGAACGTCTACAAATGCCGCATTGATGTCGTAAGGTTGTCAGCTCACTTTTGTGATTTTGTTCTTGCGCTTGGCTGCTCAACACTCTACCCTCACGTATACCTTCAGCACCTTTACCCACAGGGAGTGGAAATCCAACACCCATCTTCAAAGCAGCTGCTGTAGGCACACCTAAGCCTGTACCTGTAGAAAGCTCTTCGTGTATCGATTGCTTTTAAAGATTTAAACTCTATAACTTACCAAGCGTGGGTGCTATTCTTGGCTTTACAAGATCAGCGATCGATGGCAGAGATTTCACGAAACCGGCGCTTTTAAGTACTTGATGATACAATTCTATCTTTTCTTTCAATGTCACATTCACTCTAATCTGTTCTTCATTATCCTTCATCACTTCGTCATATTTTCTATCAAGTCTCTGTTGTTCGTTTAATAACTGTGAGTTAATGTCAAGAAGTTCTTGCAATCGTCTCTTCATCGATGTTACGCGTAAGTTGCGATCCAAATAATAACCAATAAATTCTACGCTGAAAGCGGGAGCAATATGCCATTTTTTTCTAACATCTACTAACGCCACCAATTGAGACTCTTGTGCTTCCAGAGCAGCCGTATCAACACCCATTAGTTCAGCCTTTCGTGCCAATTGACGACAAGCGGAAGCAGATGTAGTTAATAAACGTGGCATCTTTTGCGTAGGTACTATAATTAATACCTACTTAGAAATGTATTTAAGAATAGATATGTATTTGTTAAGAAATATTATTAAAACTTACCCCATGGTGGCGGACGCGATGCTTTGTGAGCTAAATACTTGTGTCTGTGCTTGGCCAATTTTCTTTGAATTCTACGTTGTTCATCCGAATCTAAATGATTAGGTTGTTTCAAAATCTGTTGCCGATACTGTGCACGCATTTGTAAAGCTAGCCAATTACGTCTACGTCTACGAACGAGGGATTTATCAGAATGTAATTTGCAATGTGCGTAAAATGGATCAGCTTGATCGACTTCTTCACTGTGTGCTTCGGATAATAAACCATCTCTTTGTGCACTATAAAAATGATATCTTGTATTTTATATTTGTAATACACATAAATTGTGACAAATAATAATCTTCAGATGTATTGTTAATAAAAGTATTACCAGGTTACATGAAAATATGTATGACACATTCCAGCATCACATTCAATGCACACACCGGTGCGTGCGTAACATGAATCTTCACACAAAGAACATGTTTTTGCACCCCATTTACTATATGCCATTTCAAATAATGTCACGCTTGACAAACGATCGACCTAAGATACACACATATTTAAATTAGTATTTAAAAATCATAAATATAAAAAATTACACAATACAAGATTTACTTACTTCACCAAAAGCGACACCAGGCACGTATAGAGCACACACTAAATGAACCCATTTTCCGACATCTGTTTCTTTAAAAATTCCACCCTTGTTAGGACAGAGTTCACACGATGGATCTTCGATTCCTGCGCTACAGGCTTCGCAGAACCATGGTGCCGATTGACATAAAGAGTCAGTGCTTGAAAAACTTTCTACGTCAGATACGCCGTAACAGCCTAAAATTTTTGTTCGTAAAACAAATGTAAATAAAAATTAAAAAAAGAACAGGTGTACTTATGTTTTCAATTAATGTACCTTCATGAACACTGACTCCACAACCATCACATTCTACAATTTCGTTTATGTCATCACTCCTGTCTCCCAAGCAACCACAGCAAATTAATACTTTATTTAGTTTATCATCAAGAGGTGCACCCTTCAGAGCTTGTTGACGAGCTTGCTCAATCACATCTCCCACAGTTAAGCCAGTACCATCTTTTCCTCTCAATAATGGATCTTCCAATGAATCGTCAGATTCTTCAGATGCATCTTCTTCTTCTTCTATAAAAATATATATTAAACAACCATTATTTACTAGATTAAATAAATTTCTTTATTTCTTTGTATATTATTTTTACAACAAAGCCTACTTTATAAAATAATATTTTATAATATGTATTTTATAATTTGTCTTTGCAATTTGCTGTTTGTTTTTTTCTTCCATGTCATCAACATGGAAGAAAAATATAAAAG